GTTCCTTATATTACATATTTTTTGCGGCAATTCAACTTTCATATGAATGTTGAAATCTGCTCATCAATTCATTCAATCAATTATTGCATCAAATACATATCAAAGGGTTTAGATCTGGTTGTTTTTCCACAAAACCCACCTGATATGTTGTTTTTTTTCGCTTGGATTTAAATAAAATCTAAATTTGAACAAAGGAATGATTCCTATCGAAAATATAAAAGGAGAAATTCAGAAGATGAAGGTCACATCATCAAGATCATTGAGTAATACTGAAATGCATTTTCTTCACCATAAATAATATAATCAACGAGCAGCATGGCCCGGCGTTGCCCGTACTTGATTCAAAAATCGTACGACTCTTACAGCAATCGCTATCACTTGACTTGAAATATTTTTGCCCTTCCTTGCCTTTAAAGGAATGCTCTTTTCCGTGCTGATGTTGCTACATGCCTTACTTCTTGCCTATCTCACAGTGCGAATTTTTTCGAAGCTCTATACTAAACATTAAATCTGTTACGAAAAAATAACTAAACAAAATGAACACAAAACGATCAGCTTTAAGAAAGGACACGTAACTGGAAAAACCGAATGAAAAAAGCATGTTAACAGCAAATACATTTTCACACCCAAACAAGTTCTGCGGAATCAGAATCAACGTTGAGTTTAAGCAAGTGAATGAGCCAATTGGAGTAAAGTGCCATGCAGATTTAAATTTTTCCCACTTGTGACGAATGCAGCTATCGAATTTTTTTGCATGCTAGCATGCTAGTTAACATTCGTGTCAGTCAGCTGTTGGCTCTCACGCTGGCCAATAGAATCTTCCTGCCTATCCGTGGCAACCAGCTATTGGCTCTCACTCTGGCCAGTACAAAATGGCCGCAAACTACATGAAAAGTGCCGTAGAAGCATGAAAAAATCGACTATTTCCACAATTGATGGGAGTTGGGAAATGCAAAGTTGATCTTGGACTTTCCGCTAACTTGGAGCATGTGCATGTAAATTTTGGTGCAAATCCGTCAAAAATTGCAGTATAGAAGTATGAATCGTACGATTTTTGAATCAAGCACGGGCAACGCCGGGCCATGCTGCTAGTAATACTATACGGATAACTTAACATCATTTTTTTGCAAAATTAATGCATATAATTTACGATCTTTTTTACTCTAGGTTTCTGTTGTGGTAAACCCTCCTACTTTAGAATGATCTCTTCCTCCTCTCATAAATGCCAACTGCGAGAGTAGGATAGCAGAAGTGAAGTGAAGTAGTCGAAGCAGTGTTAATCTACTTATTACTAACACTATTGTTTTGTATATATCTTCAATATACTTTTTTCAACCTATCTTCGTCTTCCGTGTCTTTCTTTCTGGCCCCTAAATAGACCACAACCGTTTCGAATGATGAACCCTTAGGGGATTGTTTTAAACTCAAAGAAAATAAGTATAATCATAAAAATATATTGCTAAAATATATTTGGTAAAAATATGGCAAACTATGTAAATATAAGGATCTTGAAAAACGTAGAACCATAAATCTGCTGTTAATATCTGTTTATATTTCTGAGAGGAGGTATTGCCATATACACGATGTTTCGGTCATTGTAAGCTCCGGCCTTCATCCGGACCTCTCTGTATTTCCAATATGAGGCATTTTAATTATAGCCGCCCGGATGTAGGAATCGGAGAGACGAGTACGAATTCCAGTTTAATCAATTACGTTCACTTACTTATTCTTGGGAAAGGTATGAATACTCTTCGTCTCTCACCACCCAGCTATGGGTAAATAGCAGGACAGACCGAGTTCTATAGCCTTAGATGGCAACTGGTCTACCGCAGAAAGAAATGGCAAACTACTGCGGGATAAATCTGCCTGTCAGTCGTGTATCGAATTATAAGGATCACCAAAGCGTGTATCACGCATGGCACATAACAGACACTGTTTACATTTTTCGGGCTTTTGTTCCCATCTTTTTTGCTTTATTCACAACGTATTTGGGTGTTATACGCTCCTTACTTCTTCCCGATCTGCCTATATTACCGAGATTATGTATTTTTATTACTTATGCCATTTAAATTGTTGGGACTTTTGTTCTCACCTTTGTTGCAATATTCTTAACCTTTCGGCTGGTGTACACTCCGGCCTTCTTCCGGATCTGTCTATATTTCTGAGATCTGGTATTTTAAATATTTAAACTATTTACAATGTTCGGACTGTCGTCCTCATCTTTGTATCTATATTCACGACATTTCGGCCACTTTACGCTCGGTCTTCTTCAGGATATATCTATATTTCTAAGACGAGGTATTGTTATTATTTACACTATATTTACATTGTTCGGACTGTTGCCCTCATCTTTTTGTCGTATACACAAGGATTCGGTCGTTGAACGCTTCGGCCTTCTTCCGGATCTGTCATTATTATTATTTACACTATTTGCTTTGCTCGGTCTGTCCTCATATTTCTTGTCATATTCATGTTGTTTCGTCTGTTGCATGCCCCGGCCTTCTCCAGGAGATTGGAACACTTAATTTCGTCCAACAGGGTAGGCTGTTCTAGTTCCACGTGCACTGCCTCTTCCAGATATCTCAGTATCAGTTATCTCCCTTTTAACTCAACTCTACAATTTTTTATTCACTTTTGCTGTAGCCAGGTGTTGAACTCACATCTCTTTCGGTCAAGTCTCTGGATTCAATCAACGCTTTTATCAACTAAGCCATGTTCCATACCTGGCTCCAGTAGAGTTGAACAAAAACCTACGTGTCACGCACGTTTCAGTCGCATGCCATTCACACCGGCTGACTTTCCTTCGTTTTGACGCGTTGATTACCAGTACAACCGTTTCCTCAAGACAAGCGGCGTTCGTACAAAGACTTCTATTTCTTCGTAGGTTTTTATATATATATATATATATATATATATATATATATATATATATATATATATACCTGTGTACATTTTTTCAAACATAACTTGAAGAAGACAGACATACTGTCGAAATATTGTTTAACGTTGTCAAACACACCGTCTTTTCTTTTTTTCTTTTCTTAAACCTCGCTCTTTTTGAAGTGTTGGTAATAATAATAATAATAATAATAATAATAATCAGACGTTACATAAAACCGGGATGACAATGTAGCCCTCAGAATCCATTGAGATCTATACGAGAAGGATGCCCGCAGAGAAGTTATACGATCATTCATCGCTGTCAATAGCCAAGAATGACCAAAATGAAGCCAATGTGAGTTACGACCATTTTGACTGACAGCAATCGACCTGATATCACAAGTGTACTGAGATGTTTTGAATGCATTCTGAGAAACATTGTATTTCCGTCGGTTAGAATATCCTGAATGCAGAGCAGTCGAAAATACAGTGGTATCATATATTGGCAGGAAAACTGTATATATATATATATATATATATATATATATATATATATATATATATATATATATATATATATATACACCCCCACACACACACACACACACACACATATATATATATATAGTGTATTATTCCAAACACTGTGAAATCCTTGTCAACTATATTACAAACTTCCTGTTTCTATATATCAAAACCAGCTTTTACTTCCATCTTTCCTTCTATCTATCTACCTTCTTTTAATCGTTGTCACCCCAAAGCAAGGTTGTACAGCCATTAGGCAGGCAAGAGGTTACAGGGGTGTGGGAGTTAGGAACAGAAACATTAGTAATGAAGAGAAAAAGAAAAGGACAATCAATCAGGAGGATATTTGATAGCGATTGAAATTGCATTTATGGAGCCGGGAGGAGTTCCACAAGTCAGAAGTGCGGGATAAGAAACTGTTAGCATAAAAGTTAAGGCCACACCTAGCCAGCTCAATTGTAAACTGATGAGATCTTGCCACCAGTCTAGAATTGCGTTTAGACGGAAAAGATCTGAGTACCATAGTGAAGAGCTCAGGCGAACAATTACCATGAAAATATTTATAAAAAAAGTCGCAATTTTATGGTAGTTGCCAAGTGACTGAAGGTGAACTGACAGATCAAGACCAATAATATTGCTGATTCTTCTTTGGATCTTATCGAGTAGGTCCAGGTAAATAGCATGGACACCGGACCATATATGGCAGCAATTTTCTAAGCATGGACGAATTGTAGACTTATAGATATGCAAGATAGATTTCGAAGAGAAAAATTGTCTCGCCTGACAGAGTGAACCGACTTTCTAAGCAGCTGATCTAGCGATGGATTCAACGTAGTCTTTCCTCCTCATGACAGTTGAGAACGTTGGCAAAGGAAGGTGCAATGGATCACACTTTCTTGGAGGTCCGCATTGGTCATGCTGATGGAAGGCAGAGAGAGTTCTCTCAGATGATTAATGGAGAGCAGTAAAACCAAGAAAGTGATCTATCTAGTTTGTTTTGTTTATCTATCTATCTATCTATCTATCTATCTATCTATCTATCTATCTATCTATCTATATGCATGTTCATAAACATCTATCGTTCTATGCATGTATCTGTGTATGTATCTGTTTGTCTATTCATATATCATCTATCTATCTATCTCTATCTATCTATCTATATGCATGTTCATCACCATCTATCGTTCTATCTATCTATGTATGTATCTGTTTGTCTATTTATATCTATCTATCTATATGCATCTATCTATCTATATGCATGTTCATAAACATCTATCGTTCTATGCATGTATCTATGTATGTATCTGTTTGTCTATTCATATCTATCTATCTATCTATCTATCTATCTATCTATCTATCTATATGCATGTTCATAAACATCTATATGCATGTATCTGTGTATGTATCTGTTTGTCTATTCATCTATCTATCTATCTATCTATCTATATGCATGTTCATCACCATCTATATCTATGTATGTATCTATGTATTATCTGTTTTCATTTATATCTATCTATCTATCTATCTATCTATCTATCTATCTATCTATCTATCTGCATGTTCATAAACATCTATCGTTCTATGCATATATATCTATGTATGTATCTGTTTGTCTGTTCATATATCTATCTATCTATCTATCTATCTATCTATCTATCTATATGCATGTTCATCACCATCTATCGTTCTATGCATGTATCTGTGTATGTATCTGTTTGTCTATTCATATCTATCTATCTATCTATCTATCTATCTATCTATCTATCTATATGCATGTTCATCACCATCTATCGTTTATGCATCTATCTGTATGTATCTGTTTGTCCATTTATATCTATCTATCTATCTATCTATCTATCTATCTATCTATCTATATGCATGTTCATAAACATCTATCGTTCTATGCATATATCTATGTATGTATCTGTTTGTCTGTTCATATCTATCTATCTATCTATCTATCTATCTATCTATGCATGTTCATCACCATCTATCGTTCTATGCATGTATTCATAATCTGTTTGTCCATATCTATCTATCTATCTATCTATCTATCTATCTATCTATCTATCTATATGCATGTTCATCACCATCTATCGTTTTCTGTTCTATGTATGTATCTGTTTGTCTATTTATATCTATCTATCTATCTATCTATCTATCTATCTATATGCATGTTCATAACCATCTATCGTTCTATGCATATATCTATGTATGTATCTGTTTGTCTGTTCATATCTATCTATCTATCTATCTATCTATCTATCTATCTATATGCATGTTCATAACCATCTATCGTTCTATGCATGTATCTATGTATGTATCTGTTTGTCTATTTATATCTATCTATCTATCTATCTATCTATTTATCTATCTATCTATCTATGCATGTTCATAACCATCTATCGTTCTATGCATATATCTATGTATGTATCTGTTTGTCTATTCATATCTATCTATCTATCTATCTATCTATCTATCTATCTATCTATATATGCATGTTCATAACCATCTATCGTTCTATGCATGTATCTATAGGTATCTGTTTGTCTGTTCATATCTATCTATCATCTATCTATTATTCATCTATCTATCTATATGCATGTTCATCACCATCTATCGTTCTATGCAGTATCTATGTATCTATCTATCTATCTATCTATCTATCTATCTATCTATCTATCTATCTATATGCATGTTCATAACCATCTATCGTTCTATGCATATATCTATGTATGTATCTGTTTGTCTGTTCATATCTATCTATCTATCTATCTATCTATCTATCTATCTATCTATCTATATGCATGTTCATCACCATCTATCGTTCTATGCATGTATCTATGTATGTATCTGTTTGTCTATTCATATCTATCTATCTATCTATCTATCTATCTATCTATCTATATGCATGTTCATCACCATCTATCGTTCTATGCATGTATCTATGTATGTATCTGTTTGTCTGTTCATATCTATCTATCTATCTATCTATCTATATGCATGTTCATCACCATCTATCGTTCTATGCATGTATCTATGTATGTATCTGTTTGTCTATTCATATCTATCTATCTATCTATCTATCTATCTATATGCATGTTCATAACCATCTATCGTTCTATGCATATATCTCACCATATCTGTTTGTCTGTTCATATCTATCTATCTATCTATCTATCTATATGGATGTTCATCACCATCTATCGTTCTATGCATGTATCTATGTATGTATCTGTTTGTCTATTCATATCTATCTATCTATCTATCTATCTATCTATCTATCTATCTATATGCATGTTCATAACCATCTATCGTTCTATGCATATATCTATGTATGTATCTATTTTTCTGTTCATATCTATCTATCTATCTATCTATCTATCTCATTAACAATTAAGTGAAAAGTACAGTCATTTATGCCGCGAGTTCCGATGAGTAATTTAAAAATTACAAAACTTCATTTCTGTTGTAATAATAATAATAATAATAATAATAATAATAATAATAATAATAATAATAAAAATAATTAACACTCTTGCCTTATATTGATATTTTATTAGCAGAAATCCTATTAAATTTTATATTTGTTAAATTATATAATTTTTCGAATATTATTTGCTAGTATTAATTGCTAACATTTTTAATCTGCTATATGTTATTATCTATACCTCTATTTGTGTATGCATCACTCAGCAGGCTGACTCTCTATGTAGTAGAAAATATATTTGAAGTATTATCTCTTTCTTTGAAGTGGTTAAACAATTCATAACTATCGCATTTCAAAACATATTGAATCAGATCCCATTTTCATGAATATAGAATGCCTCTGCGTTTTATTTGATCTCAGCCCTTATACATTGCACGTACAATGATGAATCTGTGGAAAAATATTGGCTTCAGCCTTACAATTTTTTTCCAGTATGTTGAATATTTTCTGAATTGCAAGAATTTCACCATTCCAATGGATTGATTGTTTGGGAAGAGAACTGAGGACGTGTTTCCAAGTTTCAAATAAAGATATAGAAAGCCTGATAAAAAAGGAGAGTTAGATACTTCATATATTTTTTGAATAGGCTAAGAGAACAATTCTTATTCTTCTTTTCTTCTTGAATAAGCTCAGAAAACACTTCTTCTTGAATAGGCTCAGAGAATACCTCTTCTTATTCTTCTTGAATGAGCTCAGAGAACGCTACTTCCTCTTTTTCTTGAATAGGCTCAGAGAACACTACTCCTTCTTCTTCTTTTTCTTCTTGAATAGGCTCACAGAACACCTCTTCTTCTTCTTCTTCTTCTTGAATAAGCTCAGAAAACACTACTTCTTCTTGTATAGACTCAGAGAACACTACTACTTCTTCTTCTTCTTCTTAAATAGGCTCACAGAACACCTCTTCTTCTTCTTCTTGAATAAGCTCAGAGAACACTTCTTCTTCTTCTTGAATAGGCTCAGAGAACACTTCTTTTCTTCTTCTTCTTGAATAGCCTCAGATAACTCAACTTCTTCTTCTTGAATAGGCTCAGAGAACACTTCTTTTCATCTTCTTGAATAGCCTCAGAGAACACAACTTCTTCTTTTTGAATAGCCTCAGAGAACACTAATTCTTCTTATTCTTCTTGAATAGGCTCAGAGAACACTTCTTTTCTTCTTCTTGAATAGCCTCAGAGAACACAACTTATTCTTCTTGAATAGGCTCAGAGAACACTTCTTTTCTTCTTCTTGAATAGCCTCAGAGAACACAACTTATTCTTCTTGAATAGGCTCAGAGAACACTTCTTTTCTTCTTCTTGAATAGCCTCAGAGAACACTAATTCTTATTCTTCTTCTTGAATAGCCTCAGAAAACACAACTTCTTCTTTTTGAATAGCCTCAGAGAACACTAATTCTTCTTATTCTTCTTGAATAGGCTCAGAGAACACTTCTTTTCTTCTTCTTGAATAGCCTCAGAGAACACAACTTATTCTTCTTGAATAGGCTCAGAGAACACTTCTTTTCTTCTTCTTGAATAGCCTCAGAGAACACAACTTATTCTTCTTGAATAGGCTCAGAGAACACTTCTTTTCTTCTTCTTGAATAGCCTCAGAGAACACTAATTCTTATTCTTCTTCTTGAATAGCCTCAGAAAACACAACTTCTTCTTTTTGAATAGCCTCAGAGAACACTAATTCTTCTTATTCTTCTTGAATAGGCTCAGAGAACACTTCTTTTTCTTCTTCTTGAATAGCCTCAGAGAACACAACTTATTCTTCTTGAATAGGCTCAGAGAACACTTCTTTTCGTCTTCTTGAATAGCCTCAGAGAACACTAATTTTTATTCTTCTTCTTGAATAGCCTCAGAAAACACAACTTCTTAGGGATTTTTTGAATAGCCTCAGAGAACACTAATTCTTCTTATTCTTCTTGAATAGGCTCAGAGAACACTTCTTTTCTTCTTCTTGAATAGCCCTCAGAGAACACAACTTATTCTTCTTGAATAGGCTCAGAGAACACTTCTTTTCTTCTTCTTGAATAGCCTCAGAGAACACTAATTCTTATTCTTCTTCTTGAAAGCCTCAGAAAACACAACTTCTTCTTTTTTGAATAGCCTCAGAGAACACTAATTCTTCTTATTCTTCTTGAATAGGCTCAAGAGAACACTTCTTTTCTTCTTCTTGAATAGCCTCAGAGAACACAACTTATTCTTCTTGAATAGGCTCAGAACACTTCTTTTCTTCTTCTTGAATAGCCTCAGAGAACACTAATTTTATTCTTCTTCTTGAATAGCCTCAGAAAACACAACTTCTTCTTTTTGAATACAGAGAACACTAATTCTTCTTATTCTTCTTGAATAGGCTCAGAGAACACTTCTTTTCATCTTCTTGAATAGCCTCAGAAAACACAACTTCTTCTTTTGAATAGCCTCAGAGAACACTAATTCTTCTTATTCTTCTTGAATAGGCTCAGAGAACACTTCTTTTTCTTCTTCTTGAATAGCCTCAGAGAACACAACTTATTCTTCTTTGAATAGGCTCAGAGAACACTTCTTTTCTTCTTCTTGAATAGCCTCAGAGAACACTAATTTTATTCTTCTTGAATAGCCTCAGAAAACACAACTTCTTCTTTTTGAATAGCCTCAGAGAACACTAATTCTTCTTATTCTTCTTGAATAGGCTCAGAGAACACTTCTTTTTCTTCTTCTTGAATAGCCTCAGAGAACACAATTTATTCTTCTTGAATAGGCTCAGAGAACACTTTTTTTCTTCTTCTTGAATAGCCTCAGAGAACACTAATTTTATTCTTCTTCTTGAATAGCCTCAGAAAACACAACTTCTTTCTTTTGAATAGCCTCAGAGAACACTAATTCTTCTTATTCTTCTTGAATAGGCCTCAGAGAACACTTCTTTTCTTCTTCTTGAATAGCCTCAGAGAACACAACTTATTCTTCTTGAATAGGCTCAGAGAACACTTCTTTTCTTTCTTCTTGAATAGCCTCAGAGAACACTAATTCTTATTCTTCTTCTTGAATAGCCTCAGAAAACACAACTTCTTCTTTTGAATAGCCTCAGAGAACACTAATTCTTCTTATTCTTCTTGAATAGGCTCAGAGAACACTTTTTTCTTCTTCTTGAATAGCCTCAGAGAACACAACTTATTCTTCTTGAATAGGCTCAGAGAACACTTCTTTTCTTCTTCTTGAATAGCCTCAGAGAACACTAATTCTTATTCTTCTTCTTGAATAGCCTCCAGAGAACACAACTTCTTCTTTTGAATAACCTCAGAGAACACTAATTCTTCTTATTCTTCTTGAATAGGCTCAGAGAACACTTCTTTTCTTCTTCTTGAATAGCCTCAGAGAACACAACTTATTCTTCTTGAATAGGCTCAGAGAACACTTCTTTTCTTCTTCTTGAATAGCCTCAGAGAACACTAATTCTTATTCTTCTTCTTGAATAGGCTCAGAGAACACTTCTTTTCATCTTCTTGAATAGCCTCAGAGAACACAACTTCTTCTTTTTGAATAGCCTCAGAGAACACTAATTCTTCTTATTCTTCTTGAATAGGCTCAGAGAACACTTCTTTTTTCTTCTTCTTGAATAGCCTCAGAGAGAACTTATTCTTCTTGAATAGGCTCAGAGAACACTTCTTTTCTTCTTCTTGAATAGCCTCAGAGAACACAACTTATTCTTCTTGAATAGACTCGGAGAACACTTCTTCTTCTTTTTCTTCTTCTTCTTCTTCTTATTTTTATTCTTCTATGTGCCGCATTCCTTCATAAGGTGGACGAGCATAGCTCTCCAAATCTTCCTATTACTTTTGACCCTTAGGAGTTTGCCTCGATTTGCTAATGTTCCCGTACACTTGTCCGCTCTTCATTTACGCAAACTCGTCCGGTATTTAAATCGCCTCCTTCCTCCATCTTTCTTACCCTTAATATGGCCTGTGAGTTTTAAGCTTTCTAAGATGTCCTTCCTCATTATGTGTACAAGGAATCTCAGCTATCTTTTCCTGATTCTCGGAATAAGGGACCAGCTGCCTATAATAATGAACTGAAAGCTCAAGCAGTCATCACACTGTTTGGGCCACCTCTTTATTGAATGATAATGCCGGCATTCATATAATGAAAACGCTTTAATCAATGTTGACTCGGCTTTAGTTCAGGCTTGTTTTTTTTGCACCTGGAATCACTGTAGCAATCTTTGTATACACAAGAAATTACAAAATCTCCTACAGAAGTTAGCGACGGAGAATGTAAAGAAGGGACAAAGCATAAGCTGCATGAAAACAGAATGCATGGTTATCAGTAAAAGAATGAGCCTGTAATGCAATTTGCAGGTCGGTAACACCAGAATCAAGCAGACTCGGAAGTTTAAATATCTGGGAAGCATTTTGACAGGGGATGATAAATGCGACACTGAGATCCGTAGACGTATTGGGATGGCCAAGGACGCATTCCAAAAGCTGGGCAAAATATTGCGAGAGAGGAGTTTTTTTGTTTTTGTTTTTTTGGTAACTAAGAAAAGAATACTGAGCTGTTACGTGACATCAGTCCTTCGTTACAGCAGCGAATGTTGGACGATTTCCTCAAAGATGAAGAAGAGACTCGAGGCGACGGAGACGTGGTTCTACAGAAGGATGATAAGGATATCATTGACTGAGCATGTGAGTAACGATGAGGTCTTTGAGAGGATGCAAACAAGGAGGAGGCTTATACTTAACATCAGGAAGAAGCAGCTGAAGTTTCTGGGACACATAAATGAAGGCAACCTGTAGAATCTGATACTCACGGGTCGAATAGAATGAAAGAGAGACAAGGGAAAACAATGCATGACATACCTAGCGGGCTTAAGCAAGTGGATGACGGAACATGGTCGGGGGAAGGTGGCAGAGGAAAGGAACTTGTTGAGAGGGATAGAAGGAGGTGGAGAGCCATGACAGTCTATGTCCCGTAACGACACGGCAAATGTAAAGAAAGAATCGCTGCCTTATAGAACCGACTCGCAAGAAGATGCTCTCCCGCTCATTAAGCTGTTCAAGTCTAGAAGTAACCGTTATCTTCTCCACATAGCCGTGTAAATTGTGCCACTTAGTCTGCAGGCCTCTACAACCAGTGAACCTGGGGCTTTGTAACGGGAGAACCTCACTGTAAAACATGTATGTATGTAACAGGCCAGAACGGGAAAAATGCTGCGTTAAGTGGCATCCACGAAAATTTCGCATTCTAATTTCTCTTTGGGGCAGTAATATAACAGTTTCCATTTGGACAGAGGAAATTAAATTGAACGCCTGTTCGTGCGGTGTCCGGCGTATACTGTTGAGTTTGGCATTTGCCATAAATCAAAATGGAGTCTGTTTTGAAAGAAATGATAGACAATAGATTTTTTTTATCAATAAATTCTTTTTTTATTCCCTATAGTTATAAAGTAAGTAATAGACAACCCTGGAATATCCTGTGATAGATCCAGGCTATCTCTTAACATTTGACCCTTCTCTTCTTGTTTTTTCTGTTTTACTCTCTCTCTCTCTCTCTCTCTCTCTATCTATCTATATATATATATATATATATATATATATATATATATATATATAGAGAGAGAGAGAGAGAGAGAGAAGAGAGAGAGAGAGAAATTTAGAGATATATATTTATATATATTTAGAGATATATATATATAAATTGAATGGAATATGAGTAAGACACGAAAAACAACACCAACCATCCTAGCCCTAAACCAATGTTACACTTGACAAGAGAACATTGCAAAAGAATATACCATTTCTGAACCCCTGACTTCAGAGCTCATTTCTTCATGCAGGCGCCGCAAATTCATTCTTCGTACATTAATTACCAAAAATATCACGGTTCAACTACGAAAATTTAGAAACCAAAGAATAAAGAGCATAAAGTTAAAACAAAAATGACGAAATCAAATGAATCAAAATTAAATAAATGAACTGAAGATGTGGCTAGCTATCAAAAACATTTAAAAAAAAGGGTCAGTTTCA